GCAAATTGGGCTTCGCTGCACGGGTGTGAAAATGGAACTGGCAGCATTCACTTTGACGAAGGGCGAAGCTGCGCGTGCAGATGAAGAATGGGTGCATCGCAAAAATGATGTGGAGCGCCGGGTCCTCCCTGGAAGAGTCGGCGTGCTGCCGGCAGGCGGTTTCAGGAACTCCAGGACTAGGCGTTTCGGATTTAGGAGGTTAGCAGCCAATGGGCAGCCGGAATCACGGAATCAGGGGCTCGGCTAAGTGAGAAGAGGGCGCGGATTCAAAGCCTGTTGAGGGAAGGGTTTCACCAAAACCTACGCCGTCACGAGTTCCTTTCCCGGCGACCACCCGCAGCCCCATAATCAGATACGCGGCGCGCCCTGCAAGAAGGGTTGCGCAGACAGTTCGGCAGGCACCGGCCCGCGCGATGCTCACGAGCAGAGTGGAGCAAAGCCAGGCCCCAGAGTTGGGCAACGGGAATTCGTCTCGAAACACGGATTCGAAGGGTCGGTGGTGCCGCGGGGCGCGTTCCGGGCCATACTCTCGCGCTGGCCAACCCAGGCCCGGTGCACGCAATGGCGTGGGAAAACCTCGCTTCCTGCGTTTATTTTCTTCACGGGGAAGGACTCAAGGGGGCACTCGCTGGTTTGGGGAAGGGGCGATGCACCCAGCTCCGCACCCTCCGGGTGGTGGAGAAGCGCATCCGGGTCGGTGGATACACGGCGCCCGGGCTGCCGCCGATTCGCTCGCCAAAAGGACGAACCGGCCCACCAGGCACTTTGGAGAGAGGAAAAAAACAGGAGGTCTCGCCACCAATTCAAGGACGAGGCTGCAGACGCGGCCGCGTTGAACACTACGGTGCGGCGCGCCAAGCGGGCCGGAACAAAGGGGCACTGTGCCCTAAAAAACTTTTTGCGGCCCCGGCGGCAATGGCTTATGTGACCGGCGCGGTTCCCTGGGCACGCGCCGCGTTTCAATGTAAGCGGAGAATGGCGTATGGCATTCAAAGGCCAACCGCGACGCTCTGCAACATGGAATTGGCAGTCGACGCTCCATGCGCGTGGCTTTTCGCCGGTCGGCAGAACGCGGTGCAACACGGGTTTTCTCTCGGCGACAGCGTCGGTGAGCGACGTCATCGTTATCTATCCTTTTTTTTTTTTTGGCTGCCAGTCTGCAGCTGGCCAAATGCGGGGCTGCTCCGCGCACGGGAACGCCGCCAACTCTGCCGGCCTCCGGGCGCAACTGCAATTCAGACGATTCCGGCCTGGTTGTGAGGCACGCCGCCCCGCGCCGGGTGGGATGCGGAGCGGCGCGCGCGTCCCGCAACGGGATGAGGGAGAACAGCAGCTTCACCGCCCTCGCAACGAAGGGTGTGGAAAACATTCTCGGGCCGCGCGCGGTCTCGACCACCGAATGCTGACGCGGATTTGGAAGCACACGGATCTCGCGGTGGCATGGCGCCTCCCCCTGCAGTCGGTTGCCGCGGGACCGTTTCGCCGAGGTGCGTGGTGCTCGCGCGGCGCCTCGCCATCTCTACGGGACAAAAACGGGAATTGAATCTGCAGGTGGCGGCGAAAGAGGAGCTGTCTCGGAGAAAGGCAGGCGTCATCTGCGCCGCGTTGGCGCGACCCACAAAGAGTGGGTTGTGCCTCTTGCAGTTGTTGAGGGTTAAAGAAAAGGAAACCGCCGGGGAGGGGCGTCGTTTCGCCGCACGGTCGAGAGCAGGGAACACTGAGGAGGAGGACGGGGGCGAGGTTCTGCTGGGCCACATTTCCCAGTACCGCGGCGCGGTGTGTGGCGAAACTGTGGCGTTGTTTGATTAAAATGCGTTTTGTTTTGTTTTTTTGTTTTTTACCCGGCGGCTCTGTTGGAAAGTGGGCGGGCGAGTTTCCGGTGTCGCACGGAGACGGGGGGGCCTGAGGAGCTGAAGCGCCTGCGCATGGGTCAAGGATGTGTGGTCCCACAATCTTCCACAGGGCCACGAGCGCCCTAGCAGG